TTCCTTTTGTTACTGATTGTTTATGGAGTTAGGTTGAGATTGTCTTTTTGTAACCACCTAGACCACTCTACCACTTGTACAAACTAGTGTTTGACTCTTGTCTTTGACATTATGAATCCTTGCAGATGTGCTAGATGCTTCATATCACTGCACCTTTTTGCACATTCATGTCACTACACATTAAGTCGATAAGAGCAGCTGCTAAATTAATAAATGTAAATTTAAAGCAGAAACAAGCATGTAAAGAATGATTTCAAGCAAAACTGGCTACATTACTAGGAATATCTTTACACCTGCTCATTCATGCAGTCAGCCAATCATGTGGCAGCAGAAACTAGGCAATTAAAGATTGGAAAATGATCAGTTGATATTTTTCCAGTCTTCAACTGTCCAGTTTCAGTGGGTCTGTGCCCACTGAGGCTGCAGATTTCCATTCTTGGCTTGACAGGAGTGGACCCTGATGTGGTCATCTGCTGTTGTATCCCACCTGCCTCAAGGTTCAGTGTGTTAAGTTCTGAGATGCTTTTCTACACAACACAGTTGTAAAGAGTGGTTATTTGAGTTACCATAGCCTTCCTTGAACCTGTCTGCCCATTTACATCTGACCCCTCTCATCAAGGAGTTTCTGCCCACAGAACTGCTGTTTACTAGATTACTTTTTTTTGCTTTTCACACCATTCTATGTAAAGTGTGGAGACTGTTGTATGTGAAAATCCCAGATAAACAGCAGTTTCTGAAATACTCAAACCAGCCCATCTAGCACCACCAACCAAGCCATGATCAAAGTCAGAGAGATCACACTTTATCACCATTCTGATGTTTGATGTGAATATTAACTGAAGCTCTTGACCTGTATCTGCATGATTTGTGCACTGCCCTGTTGCAACAAGATTGGCTGATTACATGAAGGAGCAGTTGTATAGGTGTTGAATGGTCAGGTTCCAAAACTATATATAGTCTGTCTCCCAAAAGAGGAACAAAAGCACTTTCATAATGAGTGTTTGACCTCTGGGATGTTCCCCTATTTTTGTAGCCAATCAGAAACACTCACCCCATCCTCATTAATTAAAGTGCTCACTTCATATTGAGCATGCACACTAAACTGATTGCCCTTCAAAACTAACAGCATATTAACATCCATCAGGGACAGACAGAAAGACTATTTGATGCTCCCATAGTATTTACAAGCTGCTATTGCAGGAGGTACAGCACACACACACATTCTCACAGTGTACATGCTTCCTTCATCCAAAGCGTTCTTTCAAGTATGAGATAATTATGTCTAGGTTAAGTTAGGATTCATACTAAAATACTGAATATACTGAAATTTATGAAGTCTATTTGGTCTATTCTGATTTTCAGTGGTGGTTCCAATATTCAATTCAATTCAATTCAGTTTCATTTGTATAGCGCTTTTAAAAATGGACATTGTCACAAAGCAGCTTTACAGAAATAAATGGATTCACAAAAAATATATATATTGTAAATATTTGAATTTATCACTGTGAATTTATCCCTAATGAGCAAGCCAGTGGCGACGGTGGCAAGGAAAAACTCCCTGAGATGATATGAGGAAGAAACCTTGAGAGGAACCAGGCTCAAAAGGGAACCCATCCTCATCTGGGTGCAACGGATAGTGCGATTATAAATAAATCCCTTCTATTATTGTGCGCT